TTTAATAGAGATTAATAGAAGAAATAGCAAGCTGAATATCTGCTTTATTTAAAGCTAATTGAGTAGCGCTACGTTGAGCCATTGTTCGTTGAGATAGGAGAGGTGCGCAGGTTTGGTGGGGTGCGGCGCTCGCTTACCTGCGGCGCTCGCTTGCCACATACGTTATTGAGTTTGCGGGGATATATGCATGAAGCTTATTTTGCGTCGGCACACCGCCTTCCTAGTCCTGTAAGTAATATTGCCGACGTAAATCTAATTGCTTCAAACGGGAGCTGGGCCACAGCCGCCTGCATTCCCTTTTGCATGTCTCTTCTTGATTGATGTCTTGTCTCTCCTCGCTTGTTTTGTTCTTGTTGGGTGCATGTTGGGTGGCAGATATGGACCGTTTGGCGGCGGCATCAACTTGGACATGTCAAGTTGTATACGGTATCTCCGAGCTTGTCATCGCCGTTCCAATTACCAAGGATGATCATCCTGATGCGAGTAGAATGCGACATGTTTGAGAAATGAATGGCCAGGGTAGGAGACAGCAAGGCTTGTGGTATGGTTGTAATCCGTCTGCAGCCACTGGTTGATACGTGGCGTCTGACAACACACGAGTATACAACAAGATGGCCATGGCGGCTGGAGTTGCGATGAAGGATGATGGAAGACGCCTTTGGTTGGTGAAGAAATGAAGTGTGGTTGTTGTGGTTGCGGGACCCTCTCCTGGGCGTGCCAGTCGCGCCTGTCACGGCAACCAATGGCGCCTCTCTTGCCTTGGCCGATCCCTATACGCTGAGCAGACTCTCTCCCCTTGAACAATCTGAACAATCTCAACAATCTCGTCATGCATGTTTCTGGCTGCGGTGTGTAAGGCGTCAGGCCCCCTATGATGCAAAAGGACAGCCATTATCGATAACGCACATGCCGAGTCTAAACGCGCATCCCCGTCTAGCTGCATGCCGCACGCCGCGTTAGACAGCTCGCGCCGGCCCTTTTGTGGCCTGCAGAGGCCTCGCGCGCTATCCTATACATATACACCACCTTCGCGCCGGAAAGACACGCTTCATGATACACCAACATGTCGGTCCCCGAGTCTGACGTACTGAAGCCCCTGGACCCCTCCAACACCAATTCGGACGAGTGGGAGATATTCGTCCTGAAAGATGCGCGCATCGTCTATGAGAACAGCGGCAGACCCGCCAGTCTGCTCGCCGCATACGCAGATACCCCGCTCAAGGTCAACGGGCGGCTGGAGACACCTGGGCGCAGCCAGCTGAATTACCGTACGTAGAGTCGCCGCCGCCGCGAGCGCTTCGAGAGGCCGACACAGGCGATTGACACGGTTGCAGTCCTGAAGAAACCATACAAACCCACGGATATTGAGATACGGAATGTGACACGTTTCTCTTATGGCGAAATGACGGACGGCGCGTACGTGCTATGGGCCCAGGGCAAGGCTGGCTGGTTCGAGATCCAGCCGTCCCCACAGTACAAGCCGATATACGACGAAATGATCCAGGCCGTGGAAATCCTATACTTTGTCACAGACATCTACGGCGAAGCGCGCAAGAAGGGCGGCGGTCCCAGCGCTGAACTCATCTTCCAGGAAGTAAGCTAAACACCACGAGCTGCGGCTCAGTCAAAAGAACCCCCTTCTGCGGCAATTACGCTGCACTGGAGCCATCGATGCTGACTGGTTATAGTACGCCGAGGATGAGCGCTTCGCCTGTAACGATACGGCCCTGGCAGAGCAAATCTTTGATCACCATCACATGTTCCTCATGATGTGCTTCTTAAACAGAGCCCAAGGCTTGAGCTGGAGCACCACTCCGCTATACCAGCGCTTCAGAAGAAAATTCCCAGCAAGTGCCATTCAACTGAACACTGCGACTCGCGCTAATCTACCGGTAGAGCGACTTTGACGACTGCAAAGCACGCATTGAGGGACGCTATTCTCAAATACAATCCGAGCGCACATCGTCCAGGTCCAAATCAACATCTACACCCGCTCCTGCCACGAGGCAGGCACTCACCCCTGCAAGGTCACAGAGCGCCCGGGGGAAGACTGCGGGGTCGAACACGGCAGAAGCACCCAAGAAGGATGATAATTGGTGGGAGGCTGCAGCACTCTTCGAGTTTATGCAAAAAGCAGTCAATCAGCGCGTTGTGCGCGCGGGAAGAAACCAAATCACCTTGGATCGCGTCGCGCAACTCATCGTCAAGCGTTATGAGATTGAGCAAGTCGAAACTGCAAAAAACGTGCTTTTGGTACACGCGCAGAACCTCTGCTACATGATGGACCATCCACGGCGGAAAGCCATTGAGTTTTTTGCCGCAGAACCAATATATGAAGAACTGGCGGCTGGTCATACGCTATCCGCAGTCGAGCAAAGAAGAGCAGAAGACGTTGAGCTCAAACCACGAAAAGACCACGCAACACTCAGAAACGAACAGAGCGACTCATCCGATACATCCGACGAAGAAGAGGAGGACGAGAGCGAAGACACAATACGAACACCCGTACGCCGGCCACCAGGTAGACGGAAGCAAGGACGCCTCTCGGTCTTACGGCCCAAAAGCGGCAAGTTCTCTGGCAAAAGTAAAGGCATAAAACTCAAGCCAGGCGGGCAAAGAGGCGGCAAGGGTAAAGCGCCCGTACCAGCCACCGACTCATCGGCAGGCTCGCAAAGTGAGAACGAAGCCAAGACCAATCCTGAATCAGATACAAACACCACCCCGACCCAGGCACTCTCGCCAAGTCGCGAGAAGAGAAAGCTAGACGACACAGACACGGAACACGAAGCGCATGTTTCCCGACGAAAACGAACAGCCAGCACCCCTCTGGCCCCTTCTTCCCCGCCCACAACCAACGAGTCAGATTCCGCCGAAGCAGATGCCGAGCCAACCGCTGTACCACTCCTCCCTCTACGTCAGCGGCCTTCATCATCCGCAGCCGGCAACAGCAAACCTACAGTCGCCCCCCACATCGTATCAACACCCTTGCCCACGTACGAAGCCAACGGAGCCCGCGACTCGTGGATCTGCAGCTTCGACGGCTGCACACAGCGAATCTACGGGTGCAGCAAGGAACTGGGTCGCCAGCTCATTACAGAGCATCTCGAAGACCACAGTCGAGGACGAGACAAGGTCGTTGGTATTCTCTGGCGAGAGCAGAATAAACTGCATTTACCTGTCAAGTAAGTCGACACTGATGCGAGAAAGAAGACTACTGTTCGAACAAGGAACTAATAAATGGACACAGCAATTTGATCAAAAAGATTAGAGAAATGAGCGAGGCGGGTGCACAATTATTCCCCCGTGCACCACCAGCTAGTTTGGAAAACGGCGGACAGGTTCGGCCGATTGAGCGATCTGTATAGGAAATAATGGAGAAAGATATATCCACTTTTTTTAAGAGAAAAAAAAGAAAAAATTGTGATGCTATATTATTATATCTTATTACTATAGGAGTAATAGCAGCATCATCATCGTCAAACCAAAAACTCTTTCTCAGTCTTGTTTCCTCTTGTTTCTCCTTTCTTCCTCTCCTCCGCTTTCTCTTTTCCTCTTCTTCTCTTTCGTCTTATTCTTCTTCTCCACACTCACTATCCCAGCCTCTTCTCCCCTCCCCTCAACACTCTCCCTTACAACCCCCTCCCCCTCATCATCATCATCATCATCACCCCGCCACGCCTCCACCATCAACCCCACATCCTCATACACCCGTCCCGTATCCGTCTCAACACCCCACTTTGGATGCGGAAACGGCAGCGCCCAGAGCCGAGTTCGCATGTGGCTTTCGGGGAAACTTGTGTCGAGCATGTGGAAATGCTGGTGTGGAGAGACAGTCTTGACTCGGTCTTGGGCTGGGGCTTGCGTTTGATTCTCGGGCTGGAGTAATGGCGTTGCGGACGGTTGAGGCATTGGATGGATGGAGCATGGCAGAGAGGGTGGAGTTTTTTTTTTGGATGTGTGGATGTGTGAGAGGGAGGCAGGATTGTGGCTGTTGGAAAAGGAAAAAAAAATTGAAAGAAAAGAAAGGGAGCGGGGAGAAGAGATTATGAGTACAAGTGAAATAAATAAGCATTTCAATCAATTTTCTTTGTTTAACAGCACCCGGATTTGGATGTTGGAAAGACTTGGAGAATAAAAAAAAAGGGGGGGAGGAGGAGGTTGCACACAAAGAAAAAAGGAAAGCGAAGGGAGCAAAAAAAAATTCGACTTTCTAGGTTTAAAATTTCCGAATTTTTTTTATTTTCCCAGAGTATGGGTGAGACTACGACAAAACTTCATACGCTAATGGTTTTGAAAATGTTGAAGCCGGAGCCGCCCGTGGCCATGATGGCGCCTGGGATCTGCGGATGCCAGTGTGCCTCCTTGATCTGCTCCATGTAGTGCACAAACAGTAATTGTGGCGGCACGTCTTGCACGCCTGCTGTGTACTTGCTCTCTTCGTCGTCGAGTTCGACGGCGAGATCCCATAGTGTGAGGGTGTTGTCGCCGGCGCAAACAAGCACGATGCTGTCGTCGGTAGGGTGCCATTCCACAGAGGTAATTTGCTCCTTGTGGAATGTGTAGGATGCGACTGGCGAGGGCTTCTTGTCGCTCGACATGTCGGTCGATGGCTTCCATTGTCGCAAGTCCCAGACGGCCCACTCACCGTCGTCGGCGCCGCTAGCGAGAAGATGGGCTGTTTGGTGCGACCAGCTGAGTACGTTGACGTCGGTCTTGGAGGCTTGAACGCTGAGTACGGGCTTCCGTGATTTTGACCGCGCATCCCAGATCTTGACTGTGCCGTCGCTTGATGCCGATGAGAAGACGTGCTTCTCGGTCGGAGACCATTGGAGCTCCTCGACTGAGCCCCGGTGGCCAGTGTATGGTGTTGTGTCTGTTACGAAGCCTCCGCCCTGGGTCCTAGTCGTTGCAAAAATCTTTCCAGCACAATCAGCCGTGAGAAGCTTTCCTTCTGGTATCAGGGGTGACCAGTCGAGCGCATAACCCTCGTTGGATCCATGAGCACGGATGGTGCAGACGGGCTTATTTTGTGTGGGAGAAATCGAAGTGCCGGGTGTGTCGAAAGAGGTGAGATGGGGGGTAACGTCATGGATGAGGACTTGGCCTGACTCGGTCATGGCGGCTGTGAGCGTCGTCGGAGGCTGCGCAGACGTCGCTTGCGGTGTTTGGTGTGCTCGTATACGGTTTGTGCAGCTGGTCAAGGGTATTGACTTGGTCTCGAGAATCGGGTCGGATGCCTCGTCGTCGGAATCGTCGTCGTCTTCTTCCTCGTCCTCCTTCTCCATGCGCGACAAGCTGCTCATTTTCATGACCATGATCTGGTTCTCCTTGTCCCGGCCCCGCGCCGCCTGTGTGCCAGCCACTGCATATACGGTCGCGGGGTAGGTTTTGCGATCGGAGCCGAGATTGTCGGGGATGATGTCGCAGGACAGACAGGGCCATGGGGCTTCCAGCGTGTGGAGCATGTCGTATGTAGAGAGATCAGGGTTCAATGTCTCGCCCGGCGAGAGTTTGTGTCGCCCGGGAATGAAAGTTCCTGCCGACATGGTCAGCGGCATGCTCTGGATTAAAGGCGCAATTTGGCGCCCTCACCTTGGTCGACGTCCATGCCGCTCTCGCGCTCCTCGGCCTCGCGCTCCTCGTCGGGCCGCCCGTCGACGCCAGCCTCGAGAATCTCGTCCTCGCTCTCAAACTCGTCCTCGAACTCGTCCTCGAACTCGCCGGCCTCGTTGGGGGCGTCGATTTCCATGGGCCGCTCTCCATTTTTGACGGCGTCCAGCTCCTGCCCCGCGTCTGCCGGGCGCTTGGCCATGTTCGGTGTGTGTGCCGGGCGTGTGGTGGTGTCGTGCTGGGGCGAGTCGCAAAAAAAGGCGGCCGGGCGTGGTGGAGAGGAATTGGAAAATGAACTTTTTGATCGACCGATAAGCGGCTTATCGGGCACCAGCCACAGCAGCCCCTCGCGGAGGCTTGGGGCTTGGCGCCTCCGGGCCAGGTGCAGCCCTCAGCGCTACGCCATGATACCCAATTGCATCCCAGCAACCACTTGGTCAACAGAAGGCACCTTCAGCCCATAACATACACGCCCCTTTTGCAGCCTGATAGCCCCAGAACACGTGAACTTGCCCCCGCGACGATATCTGCGGTCGCGTCTGCCCGCTCCAGCTCGCCTCCTGTTGTCGACGCGTGCGCGCTTTCAGCTCACGTCACTGCCGCCAGCATAACACCAGAAGTCGCGCCCATGGAGGAATCCTCGAGTCAGGCGCCTGTGCTAGACGCACACCCAGCACACTTGGACGGCCATGCCGAGCTGCCGCATCCCGACCTGCTGCCGCCCGAGCCCGTGACCGTCGACGCCCACGAGGCGCAAAAACACATGGACCAAACCATGGACGGCCCCGACGACAGCATGGCTAGTACCATTACCGCCAACACGGTCACACCCCTGCCTGACGTGGGCCAGACCAGCAGCCTCAACAACAGCCCGTCGCCCTACACAAACGACCCTCATCGGCCGTCAACGTCATACTCGGACACGGCCTACCAATACACCACACACAACGGCTCGCGCTTCGCTACATCGTCCGACGCCGACACGCCCCCGCGGCATGGCTACTACGACAACCGAGACGCACACATAGGCCAATCGCACTCGCGGCCAAGCTCGCAGATGGGACGGTACTCGACGTCGGAGGGCGGCGCCCGCTCAAACTCATATCAGGAGCAGCAACGGAGCGCACAACAACAGCAGCAGCAGGATGCGGTCAAGAACGCCAGCGTGGTGATCAAGGTGGGCATGGTGGGCGACGCGCAAATCGGAAAGACCAGCCTGATGGTCAAGTACGTCGAGGGCAGTTGGGACGAAGACTATATCCAAACACTGGGTGCGTTACACGGTACTTTTTCTGCAGTTTGCGCGTTCTGACAGGGGCAGGTGTCAACTTCATGGAGAAGACCATCTCCATCCGGAACACAGAAATTACCTTCTCCATCTGGGATTTAGGCGGCCAGCGCGAATTTGTCAACATGCTGCCATTGGTCTGCAACGACGCCGTCGCGATACTCTTCATGTTCGACTTGACCCGAAAGAGCACCCTCAACTCCATCAAGGAGTGGTACCGCCAAGGGCGCGGCTTCAACAAGACTGCCATTCCGTTCCTGGTGGGCACAAAGTACGATCACTTTGTCAACTTTCCTCGAGAAGAGCAGGAAGAGATTTCCAATCAGGTAAGCATCATGCTCTAATGCAGGAAAAGGAAGTAGGTTGACAACATACAGGCCAAGCGGTTCGCGCGAGCAATGAAAGCCAGTCTCATCTTCAGCTCAACAAGTCACAGCATCAACGTGCAAAAGGTACGCAACGTCGCATAGCCAGAGCCGGACATGTGCTAACCTCACCCAGATCTTCAAGATTGTGCTATCGAAAGCGTTCGACCTCAAGTGCACTATCCCCGAGATAGAAAACATTGGCGAACCGCTTCTCCTCTACCAGGCCGTCTAGTCGCCGGACCGAAGAGTCAGACCCCGGACAGAAGGGACACGTATGAACCTGTCTGAAGGGCAGATGGGGCGCGTCTTTTGCCGGAACGTTACCATGAGCGAATGACTTTGATGATTGATTTGCGTGGAATTGCATGGCTCGGCGATTGGAGCAAAGGAGCTATACACACATGTGGGCACAAAACCGGCGTTCTTCTGCTTTGTATTCGCAAAGGCGCCTGTGGGGGTTTGAGCCGCAAGCGCTCAACTGGGCCAGCGAAACCAGCGAAACCAGCGAAACCAGCGTGTGGACTGCGCAAGACGCGCAGTCGCGCTCGATATATACTTAGTGTAATGACGAGGGCGTGGGGAGCGCAGTGCCCCGAACCGTTGTTTACGTGAACTCGAGCAACGCGTTATCGGCGGCAAGTTTAGGCGAATGACGTAAGCTTCCGCAACTAGTCAAAGTTCCAGACGGGTTCAAAGTGAACTATTATAGTTGTTAGCTGTATCCATCAACACCACCACCACAGCCACCCGTGCGCCCACATACTCAAACGGGACGAGTGAAACCATAGCAAAACCGCGCGCTCCAACGACTTGTCCATTGCCGGAAGCGACTTACCCCATCCTCGCTAGTGCGTCCAAGAAGGGCGCTGTCAAGTTCCTATATAGCAAAACCTTTTGATACACGACCTCGTCAAGCGACCGACCCTCGTGTTCCACCCCCGCCATGGCGTTACCATCTATAGCGCTGCCAGGGCAGCTTCTCGGCAGCATTGACAAATACTCGCCGGGCCCAGGAACGCACATTTACGAGTCGCAAATCTACGCTTCGATAGCGGGACCCGTCGTCTCGTCGCCTTCATCCTCACAAGCAGCGCCAGCATCCAAATCCAAGCTCGCACCTCTCGTGTCTATTACACGCCCGCCCGCGTCCAGCGACCCGGGCATCGTAGGCCCCAACTCGGGCGGTGGAGTGCCGCTGCTACCCACGGTCACCAGCACGGTGCTCGTGCGCATCACACGCCTGGGACCGCGATTCGCGTCGTGCGAGATCCTCGTCGTGGACGGTGCCGTGTGCCGCGAAGCGTTTGTTGCGCAGATACGGCGCGAAGACATCCGCGCGACGGAAAAGGACAAGATTAGGATCGAGGAGAGTTTCCGCGTCGGCGACTTGGTGCGCGGCACCGTCATTAGCCTGGGCGATAGCGGCAACTACTACGTCGCGACCGATCGAAACGAGCTTGGTGTTGTGCTAGCTAGGAGTGAGGAGGGCAGGGTTATGCATCCTATTAGTTGGAGGGAGTTTAGGGACCCCGTTAGTGGAAAGACGGAGTTGAGGAAGGCGGCGAAGCCGTTTTGAGGGCGAAGAGGGGGGAATTGAAGGGGGAATATGGAGTCTGAGGCGGGGGAAGAGAATTGGGCGTCCATGAGCCATTCAAACGGGTGGAGAAAGAGAACCAAAAAAGAAAGAAAGAAGAGGAGATACCCAAATATCAGGAAACAAAGAAAGAAAAGCGTCTTGCAGACATGATTGAATGTATAAGTACATCAACCGTAAAAAGCAGGGGCATAAACTTTCCGAGTTTATTTTTTTTTCAATGGCTATAAAAAAACGGAGAGAGAGAGATAGAGAGAGAGAGAGGATGCCTTGAAGTTTATCTTCCTAGCGCAGAGAAAACACCACACCCATCACATGCCTTGACAGGCCATAAAACAGCCATCATGTACATACCTCTAACCATGCTCTCCTATCAAGTTCTACATCGTCAAGTTCTTGAAAAAGAACAGGAACAAAACCCCCCACGTCTCCACCACCACCACCACCACCACCACCACACACTCGCATGCTCATCTCTTACTTACTTACTTCCGTCCTCTCAATACCCATATCCCTACCCATACCACTCTCTCTCCCTCTCTCCCCACACTCCCCCCAGTCGTTTCTCCAACACCCAACACCCAGCATGCCATGCCATGCCATGCCATCCCACCATGAATCCGACGACGAACCCTCACCCCTCAAACCCCACATCTCATCTCGAAGCCATAAACAACGTCTCTATAAAAAGCAGCATTTGCACAGTCAAAGCAATCAAAGTTATAGGTTATGGGAGAGTGGGATTGTAGCGGCGCCGGCTGTTTCACCAAAGTACCAGGGAAGGTGTGGCTGGACAAGAAGGGAGGGCATTGACAGGGCTCCGTGCGCGACATGCTGCACTAGTTGGCCGTGTGTGTGTGGATGTGTGTGGATGTGTGTGGATGTGTGTGGATGTGTGTGGATGTGTGTGGATGTGTGTGGATGTGTGTGGATGTGTGTGGATGTGTGTGGATGTGTGTGGATGTGTGGAGGAGCGGGAAGAGGAGGAGGAGGAGCGAGGTAGGTAGGTAGGTAGGTATCGGCTGGGAAGCGGAATCGGAATCGGAATGGGGTGGTGGCATGGGATTAGATTGGATGGCTGGATAGATACCCAGTACCCAGATAGATGGATACATACGTTGATAGATAGATGCCGGTAGTGGGTGGGGTGGGGTGGTGTGATTGTTCTTGTTTTACAGCGGGGATTAGCCCGCAAGCGTGTTCTTTTTCGGGTAGTTGGCCTGTGGGTTACGTGTGTCTAGGGGGTGGGGGGTGCTAGTAAGTCTGTCTGATGTATGTATGTATGTGTGTGAGTGTGTGGCTGTGGCTGTGTGAGACGGGCTGGTTAGTCGTGGGTATGCTGCATTGTACATTGTAAGAGAGGTGGGACTAGAATAGCATTTTTATGGTGTGGAAGAATAAGAAGAAGAAGAAGAAGAAGAAGAAGAAATCGAGACATGGGCGAGTGGCGCGCCGTTGTAACAAAGTGACATGGAAGAACATAACACAGATCTTGATTGTAGTCATATGACAGACTTAGTGGAAACCAAGTCAAAAAAAAGAGATATACTGAAAATATGTTTTTGCATTGAACAAAGGAGAGTTTTTGCATTGTAAAATGCTAGTGACCGTGGCTAATGCGATGTTTTACGCTCGCTGTGCAGTAATAACAAACAGTGGTAGAAGAAGATACGAAAAAGGAAAAACGTGCCTACCCATGGCCAAAATAACTACTACAAAATTTCCCGGAAATGAAGAAAACAAGATAGATCGTCGGCGAAGATCTGTAAGAAAAAAAAAAGATAATATAACCCCTTCCTCTATAAACACGATGAGGCGGTTCTTGGGCCTCTCGGTTTGTCTTGATGGGTGTGTGTGTGCCGTGCAGTTACAAACGAACAATGATGGACCTCGAGCGGATCGTATGCCGCTATGCATCGGGGACATAGTTGTTTGTGTACGCCAAAACTCCAGTCATCATGAGGAGATGTATCGGAAAAGTCTGCTGTTCTTTCCGGGATACCATCTCGGGCCAGTCGCCATGGTTGGCCGTGGGCCGACAACACCCACGGTGGTGTGTACCTGGACCGTATCTTCTAATGCTCCTCTTGAATCTTACAATAGTTGTGTGTTCGCAAGTTAATACAACAAATCTCTCAGGTCCTCGCTCGGGACAGTGCTTATCAATTACAGCACGCCACCAGGCAGAGGCGTCCCTCTATTTTGGTTGCCCCATCCAAAGCTCTCTGTTTGAGGGTTGACAGGCCGCAAGTCGTTGCCGCCCACGGTGCTAACGTGGCCTTCTTGGGGCGCTGCGTGTTTCCGGAGCATGAACATTGGCTTCCGTCCTTCCTTGTCGAGTTGCTTGAACAAAATCAAGGGTCTCTCATTCAATCCCAAGCATCGCTCCTGGTCGCCGTGCACAATGTACAGGGCATACTGTCGCCAATCCGCCGTGATGTTGTATTTCTTCAGCGCAACCGGAAGCACCTTGTGGCACGGGTCGTCAATGGAAACGCGGAAAGACTTGAATATTTCGACTTGGGGGTTCGTCGAGGGCGTCGAAGAAGCGGGGTTGGATGTCGAGGCATTCATTGAGCTGCCACCGGACAGAGGGGGATCGCGCTCGTCAGGGTTGGGTGTTGGCGCGGCATTGTTTCGCATAGGTCGTGAAGATAGTGGTGCGGGAGTAGCGCGGGGATCGCGGTTACGGTCGGATACGGCCGTGGTGTCCGAGTTCCATGTGTTGTTTTGGCTCCATCCAGAGTTGGTATCATGGTCGTGGTTGCTGCGAGGAATGTCGCGGTTGTATTGGCGATTCTGGCTTTGACCGTAGGCGGGCGATGTGGGCGAAGGCTGGGCGATGGAGTTGGGCGACATTTGTGGGCCGCCACCACCAAGAGATGCTGTGAGGTGTGAGGAGGCTGCGACGGCTGCTGCTGAAGGATCCAACGAAGAATGATCGACAAGAGTGCGATGTTCTTGAATGGTTGGAGAGGGGTTCTTTGGCGCAGATCCAAGGAAAAGCTTCTTGGTGGAGAACTTACGCGACAGACTACTTCCAGTAGATCGCTCTTGCGTTGCTGGTGGCGAGGTGACAGAGTGCTCGTGGGGGGTCGGGAGCGGCTGGCTGTCTTTCAACATGCGCACCAGTGGCAGTATCTCCTCGCGGAGGCGCTTGTTCTCTTCTATGACGCGGCTGAGGTCTTCTCGGAGGTGGCGCAGTTCCGACTCGGCGGTATGTATGCGCTCGTCGCGCGCCTGGACTACCCGAATGACTTTGGCAAAGTCGTCTTGCGTAGGCGGGGCTTCCTGTGCCGATGTGTCGGCAGCTGTCGGTGTAGTGTTAGACGAGCACGGCGGGGCGAGAGAGGTGGGTGGAGAGAAAAGGCGACAAAGACTCACACAGCGGAACGTAGTCATCCGGGTCCATGGGCACATTCTGCCGTATCTTGATGTCGTAGACAGCCTTGAGGATGGTGAGGCGGTGGCCGACGCTGCTGACGCCCAGCTCCTTCAGCTCCGAGTGCTGCAGGGCGGCTAGGGCATCGCCCGTGATACCTTCGTCTGCAGCGAGAGAGAGGCTTGGTTAGCGGAGAGCGCTAAGAAAAGGAGAGCGGCAAACAGGGCCACGTACTAGCAAAGGTATCGGCATACTGCTCCAGGCCCAGGTCGGCAATGAAGTCGGCCGTCTGGTCTTCGCTCCATTCCATTATGTGTCCCGTGGGGCTGCTCTTGCTGTCGCGGGAATGGGTGAAGGTTGTGGGGGTATGTTCGGTGCTCAGCGGGCCTGAGCTGGTGGGCGAGCTCTCGTACTCGGCGGGCAGCGTCGGGCTGGAGATGGCCTGGCGCTCAAACTCGTCGTCGGCATCCGAGTCCTCGTGGTACTTTGTTGTGTAGGCCATGGCGGGTGGCGTCGACAGGCGTGCCTCTTTTTTTTCCGGCGGCAGAGGATCGGAGGGTTGGCAGAGGGTCGAGGTTGGTGTTGCTGCCAAGCCCTCTTCAGCACGCCAGCTTGTAGAGGGACAAGGCCGGTGTTATCGATGACGGTAGGGCGCTAGACTCGAGCGTGGTCCAGGGCGTTGCTGGGAGGCCTGTCTGGGACGCTTGGGACACCCTGTCTGAGACGAAGCGAGATTGAGACGGCGTGTTTCGTGGACGGCGGGAGCAAGTCGGGAGCGCGGACGAAGTCTCAGATGCACAGCTAGGCAGTGGGGCGGTGCTGAGGAAGAAGGCGGGGAGAAGGAGGGCAGGCGTCGATGTCGCGGGCCTGGCGTAGTTTGCGTTTGGGCGCTTGGGTGCTGGGGCCTGAGGGGGGAGGCGCGTATCGTCGGGGCAGCGATGCAGCTTGGCGGGAGGAGGGGGAGGCAGGCGGGTGGTGGTGGTGGCGGCGGCGATAATGGCGGCGGTGGTAGCAGGACTGGGACGAGGAGCAGGAGCAGGAGCAGGAGCAGGAGCAGGAGGATGAGCAGTGGCCGTGGTAGTGGTAGTGGTGGTAGTAAGAGGGACACGGGCGGGCGGGCTGTGCATTCGACTGTGCGAGGGCAGGCAAGAGAAGGCAGAGGCAGAGAGTTTAGGGCGTTGGCAGCGGCGGCCAGGGGGGGAGGGAGGGGAGAGAGAGAGAGGAGAGAGGAGGAGAGAAAAGGCCAACAGCAGCAGCAACAGCACGCGGGCAACGCGCAGGCAGGCAGGCAAACTGGGGAATGATGGATGGCACCAGCACCAGCACCAGGCAAGCTGCTTCTGCATGTGGATTGCCAATACAATCCATCCCAATACAATACCGTCCGACAGGCGGCTAGCAGGCCAACCGAAGCCAATGCGGGTAGCGGGGCCCGTGCAGCGCTGGACATGGGCAGCCCGGCTTGCCCAGAGCCAATATTTGCGATAAAGCATGCAGGTACCGAATCACCCACGGCCAGCCCGCCAGCATCGCCATCGCCATCGCCATCGTGTGCTATACTGTACTATACACTACCCTCCCCCTTCCGCCGCTGCGAGACTACCACCACCGCTACCACGACACCGGCCACGCCACACGACACCGCCGCCACACGCAACCACTCCCCTCCCCCGCCTTGCTCTTCACCACTCCTGCTCTACCGTATCCACCCACCATCCATCCATATTATATCAATATACCCCCCCCCCTCTCTGCTACACCTGCCCCTCCTCCCCCCTCCACCCCCCCCCTCGCCCCTCTTTCTCTCTCTGTCCCTCCCACAGCGGCACATCCATCCACGTCCACGCACGCACACGCGCACGCCCGCATGCGACCTGGAGATCTTCACCGCCAACGTTGAACTAAACCCTATCCCCCCCCCCGGCAGACCCGTCGCGAATACGGTTACTTCCGCCGCCGGACCTCGAGCTGCACTGAACAAGGAAGGCTGCCATCCCTATATTACGACATCCTACATAGCTGCCCATCGCCCTGCCCCCCCAGCACCCACAAGCACAACCCCACGTGCGCCACCAGCCCACGCGAACAGGATCAGCAGCTACCGCGACCTTGGAAGCAAGCCCGACTCTTCATTTCTTCCGCTCCAGAGCCCTCGTCGCTTTTTTTTATTGATTGATCTGCGCCCTTTTGCCGACAAATATCGCTTGTCGCCAAAATCCCTCGCTGCGCCCCCCCTGAACCCTTGCCCCAACTCCGATCCCGACAACACATAGTCTTTATTTTTTGGGCCCTTTTGTCCCAAATACCTCTCGACTCTCGGTTCCCACATACCCAATCAGCACCAAACTCCGTCCAACATTATACCTCCTTTTTCCTCTTTCTCCTCCCTAATCCCACGCACACACCAATACCAACGTTGCGCCTCCCCACACCAAGCCCGCCACCAGCCCTCCTATTCTCCACCGACCCGTAGTCCCTCATACCATCACCAACATCACCACCATGTCCGACACCCCCATTCCTATTACAACGCAGCAAGCTCAATCCGGCATATCCCGCGACCTGCGCAACAACATCTACTCGGCGCTCCTCTCCGGCCCCGGCATCCGCAACATCGAAGCGACGCTCGACGAGTCGCTGCGCTCCTCGGGCTTCAAAGACGCCCTTCGAGCCTACATTACCGAGCTGTTCCGCTCTGGCCAAGCCACCACTTGCGAGGAGGCCCGCAACCTCGCTATGCAGCGTATCCGCGAGCAGACGCGAGATCTCGACTCGAAGCGCCGCACCAACGCACTCGCAGACGACGCAGCCAACGGCCTCGCCAACGGCACCGCCCCCGACACCGAAGACGCCCTCGACTTTGACCTCAAGATCCCAAAATCCGCCATCGATGCCGGCGCAAAAACCGTCATGAAGGAGCTCGAAAAAGTATGCGAAATCACCTATGAGGACGACAAGTGAACTTCGCCTGGCCCAGGCCTCTGCTCCTCCATCTTCCCTCCCGCCAAGACCCGGCCCACTTAGACCGTATCTGCCACACACACACACACATAGTCAGACACACAAAGGCCAGACTCGGATGCCCACGCCTCCAATCACAATCCACCGCCATGGGTTCCATGTGTATACACACAACGTCCCCTTTTTTTACTTATTTATTTTTGGCCGCACGGGGCCCTCAGTGGCACATGGGCCCCCATACCTACATCAACATAACAGTCCATACGTAGTGCTTCCGGCCTTGCTTGCTTGCTTGCTCGCCCGCCCGCCCCGAAATGCGCTTGGCACCATGTTACCCTGGCAATTCTCTTGTTAGTCTCTATCTACGCTAGCTACATGCATGCCAATGCTGCTACTACTGCTACATACGTACGTATGCACAGACTCGGACACTGCGCGGCCTTTGGACCTACTACCTACCTACCTCGTACACACGGTACCCTGGTCTATCTTGTACATATACATACATACACCGGCTCGGCAAAGATCCTCTAGTCGTGCACATACATACATACTACTGCATCTAGCTAGTCAGAGCCACCAAAAAAAAAGACTCGCTCAACTCCACAATTCCTCCATCCGTCTACTGACCGGTCAGCTTTTTTTTGGGGGGGGGGCCAAACCAAAGCTCCAACATCATCAGTAGTCGTGTGTATACTTACTTGCTCCGACCTGTACCGCCACCAACACTTCAATCAAGCATCACAACACATGTAGACAGAATACAACTACAATCATACTTCATCAGCATATTCATTCTCATTCTCCATGGCCATCGCCACTAATGCTACTGCTGATATCTCATCATGTCTCGCTCCAATTATGCGTCTCCGTCCATCTAGAGCCGCCAGGCCGTATTCATGTCATGTCTTGGTGAGTAATAAAGGGAAATCCGTCCGTCGTGATGCCATGCCATCCTGCTTTCGTTCGTTTGCCCACCCACCAATACAACCCCATCATCCATCCCTCTCTCCCTCTCTAGTTGTACAGGTCCTCGTCCTCGCCACCCGCACCAAATGTGTTCTGGTCCCCTCCAGCCGCCGCGTTCTCCGCGTCGGGGAAGCGGAAGAAGCTGGATCCGCCAGAGTTCTTCATTGATTGTGCGAATGCCTCGTATCGGCGAATCTCAACATCAGTCACCGACCGACGAGCTGAGCGCATCGCCTCCTCAAAGTGGGCCTTGGTGAGCACAGGTACTGGGTCCTCCTCGTCAACGTCCATCTCAACGTCCTCTCCAGCAGCCTCGCGAGCCTTGCGGCGCTCAATGTCGATGGCGATCGACTGCTTGATGGCGAGCTTGACGGCACGCTGCGTGACGAAACCAAGATCGGCACCAGAGAATCCGTGTGTGTTCTGTGCAATAAAGTCAATGTCGACATCTTCGGCCACAGGTGTCTTGCGGAGCTGCGCCTTGATGATGCTGACACGCGAGGCAAGGTCGGGCAGGGGGACGTAGACGAGTGTGTCCAGACGACCGGGACGGCACAGCGCATTGTCAAGCTGCTCCGGTCGGTTGGTGGCGCCAATGACGAAGACGTTCTTCTTTGATGTCATACCGTCCATCTCAGTCAGAAGCTGGTTGACGACACGGTCCGAAGCACCACCAGCGTCGCCTTGAGATCCACCACGCGACTTGGCAATCGAGTCCAACTCGTCAAGGAAGACAACGCAAGGCGCAGCCGCACGAGCCTTGTCGAAGATGTCACGGATGTTGCTCTCAGATTCACCGAACCACATCGAAAGCAGCTCAGGTCCCTTGATCGAGATGAAGTTGGCAGCGCACTCGTTGGCCACAGCCTTGGCAAGAAGCGTCTTACCAGTACCCGGAGGTCCGTAGAAGAGCACACCCCGAGATGGGGACATGCCAAATTTGAGGAACTTGTCAGGGTGATCGACGGGGTATTGCACAGACTCGATGAGCTCGCGCTTGACATCTTCCAGACCACCAATGTCCTCCCATCGAACGTTGGGCACTTCGACAACAGCCACCTCGCGGAGAGCCGATGGGTTGGACACGCCAAGAGCGAAGCGGAAGTTCTCCATGGTGACACCGAGCGAGTCGAGCACTTCGGCATCGATCGTGTCCTCGTCCAGGTCAATCAAGTCCATCTTCTCACGAATCTGCTGCATGGCGGCCTCAGAGCAGAGCGACGCCAGATCGGAACCGACGTAACCGTGCGTCTCAGCCGCAATGGTTTGCAGGTCGACGTCGTCGGCGAGCTTCATGTTCTTGGTGTGGATCTGCATGATCTCCAGACGGCCAGTGGGGTCGGGAATACCAATGTCCACCTCACGATCGAAACGTCCGAAACGACGAAGAGCGGGGTCGATCGAGTTCGGGCGGTTGGTTGCGGCCATGACGACGACGTTGGAGCGAGCCTTCATGCCGTCCATGAGGGTGAGCAATTGCGACACGACACGGCGCTCGACTTCGCCGTTGGTCTTCTCACGCTTGGGCGCAATCGAATCGATTTCATCAATGAAGATGATGGCGGGCGAGTTCTTCTCGGCCTCCTCGAATGCCTTGCGCAGATTTGACTCGGACTCACCAGCCATCTTGGACATGATCTCGGGACCGTTGATCAGGAAGAAAAAGGCACCAGTCTCGTTCGCAACGGCACGAGCCATCAGTGTCTTACCGGTACCGGGGGGGCCGTACATGAGAATACCACGCGGGGGCTTGATACCGATAGACTTGAAGAGCTGAGGATGCCGCAGTGGCAACTCAACCAGCTCTCGGATCTGTGCCATCTGCTTCCGACAGCCACCAATGTCGTCGTAGCCAACCTCGTTGAGGTTGCCCTCCTCGTCTTCACGCTGGATGGGCTCGCCCTCGCAGTGGATAACAGTATCCTGTGCAACGATACCAAACTCTGGCGGGTCAACCTCAACAACCTTGAACTCCACCTGTCGCATGCCACCGCGGGCTGTGAAGGTGTCGCCTTGGCGGACCGGTCGGTAGGCTTCGCGGAAGTATGGCGCAAGGAAAACATCGAACAGCGAACCGGTGATACCCTCGACCGTGTCGGCGATGGGGAGGACTGCGATGCGCTTGGCCTAAACGATATGTTAGCATTGACCAGAGATGGCGCGTTTTGATAGAGATACATACATATTTGATGTCGGGACACGGGTGGATCGTGATAACGTCGCCGTGCTTGACCCGCAAGTTGTGGCGAACAACACGGTTTATCCGCGCTGAGCCATCATCGAGATCGTCATCAGCCAGCACGATGAGAACAGTGTCCTTTCGCTTCTTGCCCTTGACAAGGACTGTGTCACCGCGGAAGAGCTGGAGAGTCTCCATGGTGTTGTTTGAGAGGGCGATGATCGAGTTGTCATCGTTGACGGCGTCGGTGACGCTGAAATCGTTAGTATCAATTTCCGCCCGTGGCTCCAGACGCACTCACATGAGGGAGTTTGGCTTCTTCTTCTTCTTCAAAATGGCCGTCGCCGTCTCATCGTTCTATGGCGGGTTAGTGCGGGCGTCGCCTCAAAGGCGTCGGTTGATGCCTACCTCCTTGGGCTCAGCGCCGTCCGGGTTTCTGTCAAGTCGTCAGCATGTTTGCCGTGTCGCAGAGGGTGGCAATCAACGCACTTTGAAAGGTCCGGCTTCGGCTTGGTGTGGTCTGGTTCAGCCGACATATTGCTGATGTGTCTATCTGGAGTGCTGCGGGGCTTGCTTTTCCGGTGAAAAGAGGGACAGTTGAAAGCAGCAGCGCGGACGTGTAGGGTATCAGAGAGCGGGGGGGTCAGATGGAGTTTAGATGACCTTTGGTGTTTGGGGTGTGGTGGTTTAAGTAAGTTGGAGCTTGAACAGCGGTGATCTCACTGCTAGAGCTAGCTCAATGTTGCCTTTGGGGTCCGTGCGCCGACCGCACTCGATTGGAAGTTGCTGGAACCGCTTAGGCAAGCAGACCTAATAAGAAACACTGTGTCCCCTTTGCTGTGAAGGGCGTCTCATGGCCGCCTCTGGGCGCCAGTTGGGCCAATCGCCCTGACCTGGCAGCCGAATTGGTCGCACCCGAGCGAGACTGGTCTTGTTACGCGGCCGCCTGGAGCCTGCTGCAGCCTCACTGCCTACGCCACCAGCGGAACGCCAAGCAAGACGCCCATACTTTGCGATAAGTAGACCCGCGCACCCGACAACTGACCCAAGAGTCTGACATCCAGACATTGCCTCACTGGATTTCGCCGTCTCGATGCACTGTCACTGTTATGGCTAGCGGCACATGTGGCTTTCGTAAAAGCAAGACCCTGATGGTTTCACATAATACGATAGGGAAACCTCGGCAACCGCCATGTATCCATAAGGCATGCGAGCCGACGCCAGTCCGTATATCTGGAAAACATATCCTGGGGACGGGAGCACTGCTCGTAGATCTTCGTCCGGACAGCAATCCTCCTTTCCTTGCCGTGGCTTCTCTACTCTATTTTTTTATTCGAGCGAGTGGATGGACATTGTTAGCACGAGTCCACCTTTTCCATCACCAGTTCAACTCATCTATCCTAGAACCCACCAGCATGACATTACTTCTCCTATCTCCACCCCGGCCAGATTTCTTTCTCACATCACAAGCAGCAGCCATAAAGAAGTTCTTTTAGCAATATGCACATACTCAATAGCAATGGCTGGTTTCACTTAGAGTGCTGAAATCGAACCCCCCACTGGTTTGAGCAGCGCTTTACCATATCCATATTGTGAACCGATGCAGTGCATGAAACTAACCCTAACAGCAGTGTTGAAACTTGACTTTGTCTACGTTGAGATACTCTCTACTTTTTTTTGACTGCAAGATTACAACATATTCAATGATAAGTATAGGGTACACTTGTACATTGGCCTGTGGAACCAATTGCCTTGAAGAATAAGTCTATGGACCTAGTCTTGCGGAATCATCGCCATGTTCTACCAGTGAAGCGCCAGTGCTTTCGCAAGCTCATCCATGACTTGTAGTCCTTTTTTTCTTCATCCTTGCATCGCAAGCGAGGCCAAGTCTCAGACCCTGCAAGGCACCCATGACGATGCGGAATCCAGCTCCCGAGCCTCCTGTGATATTACATGCGCTATCCCCATTATCATCTCGCGCCGTAGCATGCCAGCCACATAATTCATCGCACGGTTTATCGTCGTTCAGAGAGCCATTGGTTCGTCTCTGTCCAGACTTGTTTGGTTGCTTCAGGAATCGTAGCGTTGCTCGCACTGTTGACTCCAGTGTAAATGGCGTCCCATATGGAGAAGGCTGTCTTGAGGTCCTCGGAGAAATTGAGTGATTGTGGAAAGTAGCGTGTTGACGCAGTTTCAACCACGCGAGCTTTGGTCTCGTCAGCAGTGGGGTCGGCGTCGTTACTGAGCAATTCGTCAAGATAAGATTTGACAGCAATGCTGAGAGCACAGTTGTTGGGTAGCAGGAATGGTAGTCTAATGGACGTCAGCATACTGAACAAGACGATAAACGCCTAACATGACTCACTTCATGGCTATCGATGAGATATCAGTATGTCGGTTGGCGCAGCCAGACAAGAACATGTGTGTGGCCGCTACTTCGACGAGTTCTCGTAGCGTCTGGCGAATAACATTGATGACGGAGTTGTATCCGAGAAGGTGTTGGCTGAGCGGACCTGTGAAGCCAATCGGGCGGTGGTGCAGAACGCCCAGGCCAGCAACCCGGGATACCAACATGTTAGAGTTTTTATCCTTTGCTATGAGCCTGTTAGTCGTAGGAATCCCCGTATCTATTGATTCACTTACTGCTGCCACGCATCGGTGCGCCATTGTATGTCGGAAACATGTTGATGTCGGAAGTCAGGAGACCCATGCGGAGCAGCTCAACTGCAAGCACGGCTGCCTCTTCATGCTCTGGCTTGCCCTTGAGACCGGAGATAACGACAGCAAGGACTTTGCCCCACTGAGTCAAGTTGTGTGTCTTCTGGTCCACATACTCGCGTAAAGCGAGGAAGCGCCATATTGAGTTGTACATAATTTCGGCAGGAGATGAAAGCGGGTTCTTGGAGTCCTTCTTAGAAATGGTTTTGGCTGCAAAGTCCGCATCTTGCAAGGACAAAATGGCAGCCGCGAGACTTCCACAATCCTAGTTCTAACGTGAGTACTGGATGCAAACTGACTGACTGGGGTTAATCTCACCTTGTGTTGCCCAACGGCATCCTTGAAGGTTGCTTCTTTGACATTCCATGTGTCGACAATTGACGGAGCCTGTGCTTCTGATGGCTTCTCTACGTGGATAGTGGTGGACGCTAATTTCCTACTTGCATCCGGAACTGAAAACCAATTCGTCTGCTCGAGATCATTGTGTCGGTACCAGTTGTGCAAAGAGCTAGAAATGAGATTTATCGCTGATGTTCGCAGGGGGATGAGTTTAGAGCTCACGAGGTTCTTATACTCTGGCGAGTCTCCTCCGTCCATGGGTGGAACTTCGAATATTTCACCAGTGGTACGCCACTGGAGAATGCGCGGGCTGATGAGACCTTTGGACATGTAGTGGAGAATCTCATCCGGCAGTCGTCGGCCCAAGTATTGGACTGCATCATTGGGTATGGAGGCAGGATTTTGAGGCTCAATCTTTCCGTCCTCGGTGTAGACAGGGTGATTCTTGACCGCCAGGCGTGCCTTTTGGTACCTGGTGACGTATTCTTTGCCAGAGGGTGGGACATCGTTGTTGCTAACCACGACTGAGTATCCAGACTGGCCGTTGCTCATAATCATCTTGATGGCACTGTAGGGCTTCAAGAGTTCTGCCCTGTTTGGCGCATCCAAAATGGGGAGTGTGGGGAGAAACGGTGTGCCGGCCAGGATGCAGGTATCCAGGAAGATGTCGTCCGAGATCTGGGGAGCGCTGACAAACTTGGATAGATCGGCTATGCATTTCTCTCGCCGTATGAAGCCGAACTGTCGGGCGTCAAAATCCCACGATGTTATGACCTTGGTGCACTCGAAAATAAGGACGTCTGAAGAAGCGGCGACGGCGTGTACGTATTCGGTTTTCTCAAGATAGGCTAGCTGTTTCTTGTTAGATTTTGCCTTTGTGTTTGTATTATGTATGTTACCTGAGCCCAGGCACTGTACGGTGCGACGGTCCAGCGAGTCTTTTGTTCGGTAAGGATGGCTTGCAGCGCGCGAAAGAGGTCTTCTGGCGTGACATATGCTAGGACCAGTCAGTACCATGTGCAAGCCATGCCTCTGCGACAGCCATACTTGACTCTCCGAATCGGGCGACTGAAGCCTCGGCCTGGTGGCTGTCGTATAGGTTCCATGCATCAGCGTTGACCGTCGCCTCTGCCGTCTTGTGCCCAAACGGGTTCCCTTGCTTGGTGATGTCCAGCCCACTGAAAACAAAGTATAGTTCGATGTCAAAACTGCGGAAAGCGGCCAGGTCTTCTTCGATGTGTTGCGTCAATGCCAGCGGGAGTCCCCCAAGTGCGGGGACGAGGGGCTCCTTTGCGCGGGGGTGGGTGAGAATGCGCTGGCTGAGATATTCGGCGGCTTCAATGCCTATGCGACAGCCGCGCAGCTGTTCAAGGTCGCCCGTCTCGCTGAACGCGGCCGTCCATTGCACGAAGTCGCGAATCATGGCGCCCGTCGCGTGTGGAATTTGCCAAGTAGGCTGTGGGAAGGAGGGGGTGGGAATGAGCGAGAGCCGGTCGTGTATAGACTTGGAAATGATATCGCGGTACTGGGCTGCTGGTCCTATCGCTAGTGCGGCAAGGCGTCAATTGGTAATGTTTGCGGGGTGCTGGTGGAGGGAAATTGGGAGCTCTGGTGCAGCTCCACGCCTTGGCGTGTAGTAACGTGGGAACTTTGGAATCCCTGATCAGCCGCGCGCTAGCTCAGGTACGCCGTACCGCAGCCCAAGGGCTCCGCGTGTTGAAACATGGTGAATCAGCAGACACTACACTCCATGGTGAAAGTGTAATATTGTGGAGTGCAAGCACTACGCTCTGTGGCGTCTCTGTTTGTATCTGCTTTCAAGTGGCACGCATGCCCCTCACTTGCCTTATCTCAGTACAATCTCCGTTCTTTGCCTCTGCCAACACCACTTCTCGTTCAAAATGCCAGGCTATGAATTGGACCAGAGTTCCATCCCCGTGATCGACATTTCCGATGCTTCGGAGACGGTAGCCCAGCAAGTGCTCGACGCCGCATCAAAGCATGGCTTTCTCTACATCAAGAATGATGGCGTGACCATCCCGCCTCAAGACATAGACGACATGTTCAGCCTTGTAAGAAGAACCAATGCTGCCACTCAAAAACGACTGGTATTGACCAAACCAGAGCAAAGCCTTCTTCGCCTCTCCCAAGGACCAAAAGGCCCAATTTGCAATCCACTCAGACAAAGCAGGAGGCATAAACCGCGGCTGGGTATCCATGCAAGGCGAATCGCTGGATCCACAAGGACAAAAGGTAAAATTGCACATCATCTTTCATAAATAAATTTCCTAGCTAAAAAAAAACCGCCATTCTAGCAAGGCGACCCAAAAGAAGCCTTCAACATCGGCCCACCCCAGCCCACCCTCCAACCCCTTCCCTCTCCCCTCTCTTCTTCCACACCCCTGATATCCCGCTTCCAAATCTCCTGCCACACCCTTTGCACCCGCATCCTCTCACTACTCTCCACCGCCCTTCGTATCGAGGATCCCGACTACTTCAGCACGCGGCACGACCAGTCCCGCGGGCCCTCAGGCAGCATATTCCGCCTTTTGTACTACCCACAGACGGCGCAAGGAGCAACAGCGACGACGAGCATCCGCGCAGGCGCACACTCCGACTACGGAAGCGTAACACTACTATTTCGACTGCCTGGCCAACCAGGCTTAGAACTACTGACTGGCGATGGCGAAACGTGGGTTCCCGTGCCAGTGAATCCTAGCCCGCAGACTCTGCCTCACCCGCCTATCCTCGTGAATATCGGAGATCTGTTGTGCTACTGGACAAACGGGCTGCTCAAGTCGACGGTGCACCGTGTGGCGTTTGAGGGCGGCGAGGAGCGATACAGCATGGCGTACTTTTGCCATCCCCTCGATGACGTGCGCCTGGATGCTGTGCCTAGTCCTCTGATTGAGGAGTTTGGGCGCCAAGGCAAGGGAGAGGCAGAGTTGAGGAGTCAAAGGAAGAGATTGGGGCTGAGCGAGGATGGAGACGACGAGGTCATTACGGCCAAGGGGCATTTGCAGAGGAGGCTGAAGGTTACTTACGGGATATGAAATGACAGGCTGTTGGTTAACAGCCTGGTGTTCTGATGAAGAATCCATGTCAAGACATTATCATTCTGAACGCTATGTATATGTATTGTACCCAAGACACCTTCGCTATGCACTTCATCCATGCTAATGCAACAAATCTAGAACAGTTGACATGTACACATATCTCATCCTCTTCTCTTCCTTGCCGCTCTCCCTGCTGCTCCTTCACCTCCAGCATCCCTCACAACACCGATACCTTCAACAGTCACACTCTTCTCTTGTACGGTACCTCCAAGTTTTCTAATCATTTGCTCCCTCGCTTTGGCTGCGCCCGGGGAATCCCAACCCAATTCCTGACTGGGCTGATACTCGTCTACCATTATCGTGTTCTCGTTGTCGTCTGCAAGTATATCAACAGAACTGTCTCCACCCGATGCGTTCGAACGCGCAGACGTCGCGCGGCCCAGCTGACGCCGTATGCGTGATTTAGAGGCAGCTTGGTCAGCAGGCGCAGGCGCAGTCTTGCGGTTAGCGCGTAGTTGGGCTAGGATAGACGAGTAGTCCTTCTCTTGTGCTTCTTTGTCGTTGGGTGGTCCTTGTGGTACTGTCGGCTTGGTATCTGGTGGAATGGCACAATCTGGGCCAGTCTCCGGATCTAGTGGATTTGCGGCTACATCTCGACTGTTCTTAGATTTGCGGGGTATGGGGGCAATGAGCGACTCCGCAGATGAGCTTCTCGGCCGTGAGAAGGGATGTGGGGAGTTGGCGCTGGTTTCTTGGAGAGGATGGGATGCTCCGCCGTCATATCCGCCGATGACCTGTTCTTGATCATGGTGAGCCAGATTGTTAGCAGCATCACTGGGACGAGCGGACTTTTCAGTTGTTGGCGTCGGAGCGCCACCGGCAGACAATGCAAGATCAAGCGTGCCAGGTCGCTGGGGCAGCTGTTGGCGTTGTGGTTTCGTCACATTGCTCGAGGCTGGCGCTTTCTGATGAGGCTTAGAGGAGGCCTCAGAAGGTGGCTTAGGCGACGCGTTTGCTTGGGGCTGAGGCGTGTGCTTGGGGGTTTGTGGTGCAGAGTGAGACGACTTGTTCAACTGATACTCGGCATACGACTGCAGGCGTCCGCTACGCAAGCATTCCCAGAGCCAGTTAACATGAACTGCTGGTATCCGCTTTTCTGCTGCGAATTTGAGTTTTGGCGAGTTCATAGTCGGCGGGTTGCAGATGATAACCGAGGTCTTTGCAGACAGCTGCTCATCGTACGAGGCGCCTGCAAACCATGTCAGGCCATTTCGGTAGACGCGGATTTATTCACATACCCATCAGAGTGACGACCTTGGTCACATGCAGTAATTCGATGCCGGAAAACCCCGTCGAGTTGATCGTCAAGCCAGAGAAGCCTAGAGACGTTAGAGCCAATCACAATAATGTGGGCCGGGAACATACCACTAATGCTTAGTCGTTGGAAAGGTCGACTTAATACATCGTCTGCGGGGTCTACAAGACGCTTGCCGTACAGACACCGCTCGACCCACCAATTAGTAACGAGGGATAGATGCGCGCCGGCTTGATCCGGAAGTGCTGTCAGATCAACCTCAGTGTCATGCGGTATCACCAGATAGCCCGGTTTGAGAAGATCCAATGGGGAGTTGTTGAGGTCAATTGTGCGGATGACGCGCGCGCCATTGCTCTCGAGATGTTGTCGTAAGATGCTGGTCTACTGGCATGTCAGCAGGGCCTAGAGCGTGCAGGCGGGGGCCGTTGAACCTTTTCCGCGTCAAAGCCATGTGGGCAAACGATGCGGCCTTGGAAAATGCCATGATGACTCAACGCCTCGTCAGGCTGCCGAGGCAGGGGCGGCTCATGTGAATCTGCAGGGTCTACAGGGTTCGACGCGGTAAGCGCATGGTGCGCATGCGCGGATGCGTCTTTATGAGGTGATGCGGGTGTCTGAATGCGCGGGCTTGCTCGCATGCTTTGCTGCTTAGCAATAGTGTCCTCTGTCCACTCGTCCTCGACCACCTGTCGCTCGAAGCTCGGTGCCGTGATGCCCGCCCACAGGGCCTCACTCTGGCTGCCGAACTTTGTGCTGGCCGACCGCCGCAGCTTTCTCCGAAAGGGATTCAAGGCCTGGCTTGGCTCTGCGTCTCGTGTGCGCTTGCCTACGGCTGGCGAGATGGGCTCTCTGCGGTCCCACGCACCCTGTCCCCGCTCTTCGACTGGAATGGTTGGGCTGTAGAGAGCCTCATCGAGGGCCATGCCTCTCTCGAGACTCTGCTCGAACCATTCGAGGGACACAATCTTCATTCTCCAGCTCAGCGCGTGCTCGTACTTCTTGCCCGATGGCGCGGCGGCTATGAGATGGGTGACCGACTTGGTCAGGTCCCCATGGTATTCGGCACCGTGTGCGACGACAGCCTCCTGTATGCTCCGCCTCTGCTCAGCTGTTGCAGGTCAGTGGGGGGGATAGACGAGTGTATGCGGGGCTGATGTCATACGGTCGTCGAAGCCAGTCAGACATATCTTCAGTCCAAAGAAGGTAGGCATCTGGTGCGCCTTCTCCAGTGCCGCCACATCGACATCATCGCCGCTGACCCAGACCTCCCTCAGCGCCTCAACCCATGCTGGCGAGAGGACCTTGACGTCGTCACGGGACTTGGCGACGTAGCGGTATTTGGCGCTATCGAGGCTGCCGACAATGAGGTGCGTTACGTCCGAGGTGAGGTCTAGCTTGATGGTCGCGCCCATCTCCCCACCGATGTGTGCGAGTTGCGCCTAGACGGACATGAGTGGTGGCAATAGACAGGAAGCGTGACGGGCATACGCGCTGTTCGGGGGCGATTGATGTGCAGCAGAGGATGGCCCCCGCCAGGGGCAATTGGCCTGTCCCTGCATTGTGTCAGTTGTGTCAGTCGATACAGGGCGAGCGGCGGGGAGAAGGGAGGCTGGACGCACCATAGCTTGCCGCAGTCGCATCCATCCTCCAGTGGTGGTCGCATGCGCAAAAGTCACGATGTCGTGCGTGTAGCGCCGAGAAGAGCGCGTCGAGGCTGGCGCTAGGCCGTGTTGGGCGACACGCGCGTTGCGGGGAAGCCAGGCGTAAACGAGATCACGTGACGGGGCCTGGCCTGGCCCGCCCGCCTGCTTGCCCGCCTGCCCGCCCTGGACTTGACGGTCAAAGTTTGCGAGCTGCGTCGCTGGTCGCCTCGCATCGCCTCGCCTCGCCTCGTCTCGCTGTCGGTGCCATTTCGCTGCCACTTTCTCCTCCAGCACGGCAGACCAAGCTGCGCACTCCCTGGAGACCCCCACTGCCCAGACGATCAGTCAGTTGCCACGAAGAAAAAAAAGCTTTTCCTGCTGCCGGGTACCCACCAACCCCGGCTGCCAGCCAACGACTCCAGGGTTGCGGCGCGATGATGACGAACCGCCCTGTGCCTGAGATCGCGCACTGGGAAGGAATGGGAAGAGGGCTTTGAGTTGGCAGACAAGTTTCTTGTTCTCTGGAGCCGATAGCGCAAGCCCAAGCTGGACGTGGAGGTTGCACGCCCACACACACACACTCACACTCCGACCCGATGCGTCTCCAGATGCAGCACCCCCAGCCGACGATCTGTACTCGATTCGCACGCCCAAGTTTCTTTTCAGTGTCGACTACTATCATGGCGCGACGCATTGCGCTGGTGCGGGTGCCCTACGACGACGACTGCTGGGCCGACGTGCTTTGCGGTGCAGAGCAGGCCCAGGACTCTTCTCCGCCGCGCCTGGGAGCTGGCGCTGGTGCTGGTGCTGGCGCTGGCGCTGGCACTCGCACTCGCACTGGTGCAGTCGTTCGCATGGCCGTGGGCGCACCAGCAGCGAACACGGCCCTGGCACTGCTCTCACGACATGGCGAGGGCGCGGGTGCTGGGGCGCAACAGGCTCGGCCGGATGGGGTTGCGGAGACGGCCATATTGACGCTCATCATCTGCGCGTGCTCGCATGCTATGCTGTCCTGTCATCAAGGGCCCTGTCGCGTTTCCGTATAAGCGTGGCTGTCGAACCAAGGTCATCCGTCGATCATAGTACCTTGCCGGGTAAGCCGCCTGAGCGTCGGTCGCTAGCCGCCAAACGGTCTAGAAGCAGACGGCATGAGGAAATCAATGCTGCACCCACCACACGCACGCCTCGCAATCCCTTGGGGGCTCGCCATGATGTCATGCATCCGAGCCTCCGTCGCCGCCGCCAGCCTGTGCCAGTGCCAGTGCCAGTACGTGCGGCCCTGCCTGCGCCTCGTCGTTGTATAGCAGACTGGACGCACCGTTGCTCGGCCTGGCTCCGCGGCGGCGGCACTTCTCTCGCACACTCGTCCCCCATATTGCCATCAATGGCGACGCCGCCGCTTGACGCTCCGATTACTGCCTCTCGGCCTCGACTATTGCCGCTGCAGAGCCCCAGCGATGCTCGTCTTAGGCCCGGCATGCTATTAGCTGCTGCCCGCTGCCCACTGCCCACCCCCGCCGAGCACCAGCACACAAAGTCCGCGTCATCCGGCGCTTCCCTGCACTCGTCCCCCGGCATACTTGCGCCGTCTGCCCTGGCTTAGTCTGCCACGCCCGCCCGTAAAATGACTGCATGCTAGTTTGGGCTCACCTCAAAACACTCCAGGTCCCTGTCATTCGCCATTAATTGATCTGACAAAACACCGCATTCATCATCGACACTGCAGGCCCTCAGTAACAGGGTAATCCCGCACGCTTCCGACGCTCCGGCAACTTCACCGCTCCACAAACATTACAGTGGCCTTGTCGCGCGGATCCCATCCCATTTACACATCACTATGCTCACCGTAGCATCTTGACACCTAGTTCCTGCTTGTAAGTCCTCGCCTCATTTCCCCCCTTCACTGTGACCGGGCCCTTTGTCTCCGCACCGCCCAACACACTACCGCCCTTCCCAAACCATCGACAAGGAACATGGTTGTGCTTCCATGACCAAAACAATCTTTGTATTGCTCTCCCTGGCCCTCGACACTTGCCCTGCTTGTTGCATGCTTTTGTCTTCACATACACACTCGCTCTATAAGACATTGCGCGCCGCGTGCAGCCCCCTTTGACCAAGATACACACCATCACCATCACCCTCCTCGTCGCCGTCGCCGCCGTCGCCGTCGCCTCCTGACATTGAACATAAACTGACGCTGCATCGCCATGCCAGAGTACCACTCTGTATACTCTGATCGTGGCCGTTTACGTTATATCCCCGACCACCTAGAGACCCCCGCAAGGTCTTCTCGCAGTACCTTTCAAGGACGCTACCGCCGACCGCACCGCATTCACATTGCAAACGTGGGCCCCGACCCTACCTTACTCCGCCGTCAGCACCGCCGCATGACTGGCAAGTCGTACATTACCGAAAAACTGGCGATTCCACACGAAGGCGCAAAACGTTTCCTGCGCTCCTTTTTCGACAACCGCTTCTCTTCCAAGTCCGAACCCGCAGACATACCCACACCACGCCCATCAACCAGCACCACCAGTAGCAACCGCAGCTCGGTTGCCTCGATCCCAGAATCAGGGAATCGCGAGATGAGGTCGCTCACGAGGAATTCGGGCACGGGCGCCGTAGGCGCTATTGGCAGCACATTGGCCGCCCCCGGCATGCCCAGACCCTCAGTTGCTGAGTCGCATTGGTCTTCTGGGCGTGCGTCTGCTAAGAGCATAATAAGCAGCGTGAAGCCTGTGCCCGAGGAGAAGCCCGTGGCTTCAGGCGGTGGCCTGAGCGTAAACATACAGCTTACCGAGCCGGTTCTGTACCTGCGAGGCTTTGAGCAAGCAGAGCACGCTGAGCGGAGTACTGCAATGCTGCGCGGCACACTATGCTTGAAGATCACCAAGCCCGCCAAACTCAAGGCCATTACCTTGAAATTCAGGGGGAAAGCAATCACCAAGTGGCCAGAGGGTAGGCCACCTGTCATCATGCTCACTTCAATACTGACTATCCTTAGGCATTCCCCCAAAGAAGACCGAGTTTGAAGAGGTGGACACGCTGATGAGCCACACTTGGCCGTTCTTCAATTCTCAATTCCCGACGGCAGAGAATGGAACTGGCGCAGATCACGTGGAGCTATACAAGAACTCGGGCGGCCTGAGTGGCTCGCCCAACAACTCCTCGCTGAACCTCACGACAAAAGAAGCAAAACGACTATCGCTGCAAGTGAACCAATCGCGAAGCTTTGGCAAAGGCGATACCCCCGGAAGCGGTCCGTCGGTTGCACAAAAAGGTTACAGAACCTTTAATCCTGGCGAGTACATGTACAACTTTGAGCTGCCACTCGACAGCCATCTCCCGGAGACCATCGACGTCGACCTTGGCTCGGTCAAGTACGAGCTTGAAGCCATTGTTGAGCGCGCCGGGGCCTTTCGCACAAACCTTGTCGGTACCAAAGAAGTGACTCTTATCCGTGCTCCTTCCGAAGGTTCACTAGAGCAAGTGGAGCCCATCGCCATCAGCCGCAGCTGGGAAGACCAACTACATTACGATATCGTCATCTCGGGAAAATCCTTCCCGCTCGGTGCACAAGTACCCATTGCTTTTAAGCTGACGCCGCTGGCCAAGGTCCAGTGCCATCGGATAAAGGTATTTGTCACGGAGAATGTCGAGTACTTTTGCAACAACAAGCGTGTACATCGCATGGAACCAGTCCGCAAGGTCCAGCTATTTGAGAAACGTGCAGATGGCCCGCCGACGAGCACCTTCCCTGGTAGCACCATGCGGATAGTATCTGGCGGTGGTGTTCCGTACGACCAGCGCGCGGCAGCTTCTCGAGGCGAAGACGTACAGGTAGATGACCCCACCAATCTTCTTGGTAACCTCGGCGGCGACGCGAATATCGGCCCAACCGAAATGGAGTTCAATGTGCAGCTACCAAGCTGTCACAACCTCAAAGAGAAGGACAAGTCATCCAGGTTGCACTTTGACACTACATACCAGAACATCCAGGTGCATCATTGGATAAAGGTAAATTCAGTGCTTGACTCTTCCGCAATACCTACTGACAGTCTGCTAGCTTGTCATGCGCCTTTCAAAACCGGACGCAAACGATCCGACAAAACGAAGGCACTTTGAGATCTCGATTGACTCACCCTTCCACATCCTCTCGTGTCAAGCTACGCAAGCAAATACCGCGCTACCCGCTTACTCGTCACCTGAACCTGCCATGAGCGGAGCTCGGATACCCGAGTGCGGATGTCCCGATGCGCCATCTCGCCGTCCTTCTCCGCCCGGCTTTGTGCCTACTTTGGCTACCATGGGTCGGCCACGGGGCAATACAGAACCGCCAATCCCCACACCTTCACTTACCCGACCGCAAGCAGCACATATCGGTGGACCAAATGAGTCTATTGTTCAGCGACCCATCCATCTCATGCGCGTACCTTCGTTCAACCCGCCAGCCTTCTCCGAAATCGAGCCGCCTCCCCCACTCGAAACCCCACCACCTCTATACGAAACGATTGCATCGCCCACCAACGGACTAGCCGATTACTTTTCGCGTCTGTCAGATGCATACGATTCGGACAGCGACCGTGAGCGTCATGATCGAGCGCGTGTTGAAATCCCGTTGACACCAGGAGGCCGTGCGAACCGCAGCATGGATGAAAGGAGGACGTGGCTTCCCGTTGGCCACTGAGCATAGACGATCGGGGACTTATGATGTCACGCGTCACGCATTTTACGTTCATGCATTACACTTTTATCTCGACTGTTATTTTTTGTTGTCATCTTGGGCGTGGTCTGTGCGTTGAACATTTTCTGGAAAGAGAGCGAGTGAGTGAGATTCAGACATGGTCATTATGGCCAATAGGGATATACAAGGGAAAGCGGTGGGGTGCAACATTTCAGGGCATTATTTCTCTAATTTCCGCCATTTGCATTTTTTGTTATCCCTCTCTTTTTTTTCCCCACTGGACTAGGCATTTTTTGGGCTACGCTCGTGTTTTTTTTGGGGCGAGTGCGGGGATGATCCCCTTTGGTTTGGCGTATCTGAGAGTATCTATGTATGTATGTATGTATGGTTGGGCTCTCGAAGCATTGGGTTCTTGTTTTGTTTACGCGCTCCCCGTTTTATCGGGGTTGATCCTTGGGCTCTCTTGTTTTTTTTTGGATGGCGCCGGGCCCCCCCCTCTCCTCCCCGCCTTGTCACTCTGTTACCCTATCCCCTCCCCCCCCCCTTCCAAGTCAGCCGGTCGTCAATATCTCCTGTTCAAACTTTATTCCTCGATATCATCCAATACATGTGTATATCTTCCCTTATCATCTGAACAAGAAAGAGAAGAAAGAAAAAAAAATACTTGTTTTCCCCCGCATGTTCTGATCGTCTGCAAATCGTCATGTGTGTGCGTATGCATATCTTTTTTTTTCCTTCGCCAAGAACAGAGCAGAGCAAAGCATCGCGCGGCTTGCCCGAAAAAGTTGTGTTTGTTGTTTATCTCTCTCTTTCTAATTTTTTTTTGGGGGAAGGGCGGGGTGGGGGGCAACCT